TGGCTTAAGTTATGTTTGTTTGGGAGATGATGCAGTGGCTTTGAATTGTAGTGCTTACGCTGTAATTTTTTTGATTGTGATAGAGCTGAATACTCAGAGAAAGGTCATATGTAAGTTTGCTTTCATGCTTCGCGACAAGAGCGGTTTAGTCCCACGATTTGAGAAACGGGTGACTGCGACGGACCACTCACCGCAACCCAGAGATTAGCGGTGGAGCGCGTTTGGTCGCAATTCCGCTACTAAATCTATCCATTCGTGGACTATGAACTCGCCTTAAAGGCAGTTGGCACGAAATCCCTAAGAAGAGTAGGACTGATACCGCCTGGCAGGACGGAATTCCGCGACCCTGAGCAGGTGCTGCGTAGCGCCTTTTCCAAGGGAAGGTACCCTTATAAGGGCCCTATCAAGCTACAACATACCGACCCAAACGCCCACCACGCCCGCCCGCCCACAAATGGACGACCATACCTGATGCTTGCATTGCTTTAGTTGCTTGAAGCGAAGGCATTGGTATGAAGCGGCTGCGGTGCTGCATAGGATATGTGAGTACATATATGCAGGCGTACCCACTGTAGCGGTTATTGGGAAGATGTCCACGAAAATTTCGTCTAGCCATTGAGAACGAAGGCTTTCTTCGCACGTTTTTGACCGTTTCACTTCGTTTTTTCGCCATCTACTATATGGCGCCCTGCTAGCATTTGAGGCCAGTTACCAGAATATTGTGCCAACTGCCTTTAAGAAAAGAATCTAGGGCTAGAAGTCAATCCCAGGACATTTTTTCGGTTTGTATTGTAATCAGTACTAGGGATTCCTTGGAATCCCCTGTTGTGAGGATGAGCAAAGCAGTGCTGGAATGCCAATGCTCAATGTTTTGTCCTTCTCATTCTGCGGGACTTTACTGACATTGTCTCTTTCTGTCTCACTGTATTCAAACCAGACGAAGGCTTAATTGAGGGATAAATTGTTGTTTGGCTTTGGGCTAGAAGGACTCGTTAAGACCACGCATTTACTCACACAGTGCTTGTGTTAAAAAATCTTTGATGCCTTTGACGTGTGTCCCCTTGAGAATCCCATCTACATGGGCGCTTCTCACTTATTCATATATAAGAGTGGAAATTTCATCTCAGGCGAAACAGAAAAAATTGCTGGCTGAAGTCAAGCAAAAGACGCTTGCTCGCCTTGAGGAAGCACGCAAAAATCGCCGAAAGCCACCAGATCCAGCACAGGACACTTTCGTAGAGAAAATGATAACGGCAAGTTATCAAGAATCTCCAGGTGTGATCTTTCAACATTATTCTTTTATGTGCTATTTTTGAGACCGTAGGCACGATTTCTTCTTTTTTAGATTACTGTGTCTAATATTCATGTTCGCTTTGAGGATAAGTTTACAAATAGACATCGTCCTTTCGTGGCTGGAGTCACACTTGAAAGGCTCGATTTCCAAGTGAGCTGAGCTGAATTTTTTCTACCCTTCGCGCTGGATCCGTTCTCTCGCAATTGTGTTTCCAGACAACTACCGAGAATTGGATTCCTACGATTCATAGAGACGTTGTTAAAATCTTCCATAAACTTGTTTTACTTGACAACCTTGCCGTCTACTGGAACTCGGGTTCGGAATTGTTCTCAGATCTGACTGATAAGAAGGAGATCCGACGGAAGCTCCAGGCTACGATTCACAACGGGAAGAATCAGCCTGATGGTTATAAATACAGTGAGTGGAATTTGGAATTTTACTAAATTGTGCTTGCTGTGGATGCTATGGCGTGTCAACGGGATGGGTTTAGATCGGCGGCCAGCTAGTTCCTAACAATGAACTGTGGTGCGCCTGCGAATATTTCCGTAATTGGTAAAGTCACGCGCTGACAATCGTACAAACCCAGCCCTGACACTTCCCAGCATTCACGGCGAAGATGCGGTCCAGCCGCTTTGCGAACGCCCGCGTCCCATGCTGATGGCCCTAGGCGTGGTCTTGTCTTCTTGTATAGAAACTGCGTAAATAGTATTGGATGGATGATAAAGCGCGAGTGTATTCTCTCCAAAGATCCTATCCAATTTAGTCCTGAAACCTATCAAAATGCAGGCGAAGTTGAAATTAAATCAAAAGCCAGAATCCGATGGAACGAATTGGAAAACTCCAAAGGTCGGTGAAGTTTATGTTTACTTCCATGATTTCATTCTTAATGATTTTGTTTATTTTTGTGGTTTTAGATAGATCTCTCTGTTGATATGGAAGCGTTAGCATTGGCGATTGGTAAATACCAATATCAGGATATTTTACTGTTCCTTGAGGCGCAGGAAAGGTATGGCTTCATGGTCTATGGTACATTTGGTTATATGTAGCATTTCCAAATTTTGGGACCCTCAAGAAGGGTAAAATTTCACCTGCTGGAGTTTTTACCATTTTCTAGGTTCAATCTCGCAACGCAGTATTTGAAGTACCGCCCACATCTTAATGAGTATCGTGGACATTACAAAGAATGGTATGTAGTATTGTTCAGTAGCAAAATGAATTGCTGTTCTGTAGTCGTGTAGGGGATAGGGCCAAATAATCCACTTTCCAGGTGGCATTTTGCCTACAAAGCTATATTGGAAGAGAAAGTTCGTCGTCGAAGGAACAATTGGTCGTGGCCGAGAATGCGCGCTCATAGAAAGCTTGTCCGTGAATATCGAGATGCGTGGGTGAAACAACAAACAACCAGAAGTCCTGGGTCCGATGTCACGGATATTATCAAGGTGAGCACTGTTCAACTTAAAGACAGTTGGCACGATAAATCCTCCAAGACGACTAGGATCAGTACGCCTGGCAGGACGGAATTCCGCGACCCTGAGCAGGCGCTGCATCACGGCTTCTGCTTCTTCAATTAGAATTCCGTGACCTGAGCAGGCGCTGCATAGCGGTTTCCAAGGAAGGTGCCCTTATAAGGGCCCTATCAAGCCACAACATACCGACCCAAACGCCCGCCACGCCCGCCCGCCCACAAATGGACGACCGTTCCTGACGCTCGTATTCATTCATTTGCTAAGCAAATTATGAAGCGAAGGGATTGGTATGAAGCGGCCGTGATGCTGCATGCATATATGGGTACACATATGCAGCCGTATCTTCGGTAGCGGTGATTGGCAAGATGCCTACGGGAAACTCGTCCGAAATCGATTTTCAAGTCACAGGAGGCTTTTTCTTCGCAGGATTTTGACCGTTTCACTCCGTTCTTTCGCCATTTCCCCACTATACAGCGCCCTACTAGCATTTTAGGCTAAGTAGGAAACCATCGTGCCAACTGCCTTTAATACCACGTATCACGTTTGTTTGGTGTATAAGCCGCAGGTATGGTTTAGAACGTCCGAGTTCGCTGACCCGTGCGTGAATTATTCGAGTATTTTGTATCTAGTCGACCTGTAGCGCTGCAGCATTGTTGTGTTGAATCAGTAGTTCTGGTGTGAATGTCGCGCACGTGATACCATCTGCAACGACTCCTTCACCGCCTTCGCTATAGCTTAGATAAGCTGGGCTACACGCGTAGGCCGCCGTTTCGCTTTGGCGCTGCCAATAGGGCGCGTCGTATGTTGAGGATCCTTAGCGTATTTTCCAGCCGTATTCAGGATTCGTATTTTGTCGCTTAAGGGGGGGGGGGGGGTGAGGTCGTATATGCTTTGAGAAAGATGTTTTTGGTTCTTCGTTTATCTCCCGTTCCTGACAGCAGTTTCCAGGGAAAGAAGTGAATAGTTTCTGTGAGGACTGGGACAATACGTGAGATATTAGGCAGAATTGGGCAGAGGTGCGAGGGGTGGGGGGGGAGGGGGTCGCACCAGAAGCGAGAGCTCTTTGAACCTCTGAGAAGTACTTTGGCGGCCCTAGAGAATGCCCAAAATGGATGTCTCTTAAACTCCGCAAAAGGTAACATCTCAATAATATTTTGGCACTAAGCCGTGCCAGTGATACTCCTCCTAACTAACCAGATTCAGAAAAGCGTTTTTAAGAAAATTTGAACGGCTTGGCTTCTGTTTATAATAGCTTTCCCGCACACTATTTCACGACATCATGGCCAGTATCTGCACTTGTTCTGAACCAGTACAGCTGTCCTGCGGTGACTCCAACGAGTCGAACAGGGCTCATAATCTTTTGTTTATAGAAAGCAGAGGAACAACTGGATGTGTTTAATGTGAACGTTGCTCGGCAACAGGCT